TTGCAAATAATGCCAAACTACACAACGTAAATCTTACTACAGGAACTTCCTTCTTGGGTCATAAAAACGCACAGACAATGTACAAAGTCTTTTCCTCCGTTTCGCGGTGTCCCTGCATGTCAAAGCAGCGTCTATGGCACCATGCGGTCTGTGTTATTAGTATTAGATAGCAATATGGCCTACGTGCAGGACTGTACAAGGACTCTACAAGGACTCTATGTTATGACTATGATGTGACTGTCTCTTTGTGACACGTATGTCTTTCGATGTGTGACGTGACAATGACTATATAAACTGTGTACTGCCTTTATTCTGTCTGAGAGAAAGAAACAGAGTAAACCAGTGGAACTTGAGAGAAACTTAAATAAACTTCCAGAGTTTGGCACACCACGATCCGTCTCTGTCTGCTTGAATCCTGACATTGTGAACGCGCACCATTCACGTGGTGAGGTGTTCAGGTGCAGACGTAAAGATGAGTGTTTGTCACGTAGGCTTTCAGTACAAACACAGCAGTGATTGGACTTTAGGCACGCATTTGACGAATGGGCATCTTGCCTGCTCTAAGTGAAAGATTTATTGGAGATATGTAAAAAAAAAAAAAAGGGGGATTAGTGTGGACAGCTGCTCTTAAAGAGTGAGTGGGTTCCTCCATCATCTCCCAGCTCCTCAAGGCACAGTCAGAGACCCTCCTCACCTCAGTAAGTATAAATACCCCCAGAGAATGCAGCAATAGTCTTGAGTCATTCCAAAGAGTGAGCTGGGAAAGTCTTCTCACTTGCACTGGTTAAATACCAGCCCCTCCTCCCTCCCACTCTCTCTCACATGCTTATCTTCCCTTCAGAGCTGGAATCGCTGATCTGCTGGCAACATGATACTAAAGGCGGCTGCAAGATATGCATAGACTACACACACAAACGTCAGGCCAACAAATGTTTTAAGCACTTAATTTGAACAAGTAGTGCACGTTTCAGTTAGTTTGTTAAGGACTAAGAAAACGTTTCATTGAATGTTTATTTTTTATTTTATTTAAGACAAGAAATTTAAAGAATTTGTTTTATTTGTGTAATCTTGGAAAAAGCAGGCGAAAAGAAACTGGCGTAACGGGGGCAAAAGCACTCAAAACAAATTACTATTAAACGGTGGAGCAAATTGGTTAAAGATTTTGCCTATTTTAAGTTCTAACCAGGTGAAACATGGCATTCACTATTTATTCATACTTTTATCAATGATGATTTTTGGGGTGTCAGTTATTTCTGATGCCTACTTTTGTAATCCCAAGAAAAAGTTCCTGTTGACGTCAACGACATGTAACACAAACATACGAACACTCCATTATACACAATGGTTGTTACGATTGTTTTCCTAAATAGGTCAGACATAGTTCTTGGCACAGTTCATTTGTAAGCTTTTTTTTTTTGTGTGTCAAATTCAGAGGGCATTCTTGCTTAAATAGAACCTTTTTAATTGGCTCTGATTCACATTTGTTATGTGCATTTTGGCCTACAGTTAAACGGTTCTTATGAAATACATGTTTATTTGTGATGGCTCATTGTTACAATTTCTCAATTTATTTTATTTATAATTGCAAAAGGCCTTGTGTTTTTTTGGTGTTTTGGGCTATTTTTCTATAAATATCTAAATTTTAAAATTTTATCTGACTGACAGTTGTATTTATCACAAATTGCATGGACTGCTGTTTGTATTGAAAGTAGCTTCTCTATATCAACCTACTTTTGAGAAGATTTTGTAACTTGGCTTTCTACATTTTTATGGTTGGTAGCTTCTGTGTAGTGAAGCTGAATTTATTGTAGAGTAGTGTCTAGCTTAGCTCACTACACAAATCAAGTCACTTGCCCATTACTGCCAATGAAATAAAGGTCATATTTATTTTGCTGACCCTGAGTGACCTGCATTCATGCCCCTTCACAGCACAGAAATTGTAACAGACAGACAAGTGAGGTCTTGATGACGTTCGCCAGTTCAGACTCTCTCTCTGAAGCCTAGTGTATAGTCGCGAGGCGCGGAGCTTACGGTGGTGACGTGACGTCACTTGCGCAACGCCTGGATCACCGCAAGGCCCTTGCGTAGCTTGCCGCGCACCCTCGAAAATGACTGACTACGTGAGGGTCGCCGCAAGGAAGCTTCGCTGTGATTGGTCCGTGTGTGATTACTATCTGTGAAGCATGGAACGGCTGCAGGAACATGGATGAGGCACTTCGGAGCAGACTGCTTCGCGCTTTGAAGGAACAGAAGGAAAAGCAGTTTGGGCTCATGGCTCAGAGCCTGATATACAGGAGAGTTGCCGCCCAATGCTCATAGCACCAGTCCCTCGCTGATCCTCTGCTGTGGGTGAGTTCACAGTGGTGCTTCAGCGGGAGCTTTAGGCAATGTGGGGTTAAGTGTCTTGCCCAAGGACACAACGGCAGTAGACATTAGTGGGAGCAGTTGGAGTAGGTCCCGTGCTGGGCTTGAACCCACGACCTTCAGGCCCAAAGGCCAATGCTCTACCAACTGGGAGGGGGCGGGGGGACAGTGCTCTTCCTGAAGTCCACAATCATCTCCACTGTCTTCTAGGCGTTCAGCTCCAGGTTGTTACCACTGCACCAGGACACCAGCCGGTCCACCTCCCTCCTGTAGGCGGACTCATCGTTGTTGGAGATGAGTCCAATGAGGGTGGTGTCATCCGCGAACTTGATCAGCTTCACAGAGTCGTGGCTGGAGGTGCAGTGGTTGGTGTACAGGGAGAAGAGCAGGGGAGAAAGAACACAGCCCTGTGGGGCTCCTGTATTTATAAACCGAGAGTCCGAGACATTCTTCCCCAGACGCACTCGCTGCTTCGTGTCCGTCAGGAAGTCAGTGATCCACCTGCAGGTGGAATCGGGCACGTTGAGCTGGGAGAGCTTGTCCTGGAGCAGGGATGGCAGGATTGTGTTGAAGGCAGAGCTGAAGTCCACGAACAGGACCCTGGCGTAGGTCCCCGGGGAGTCCAGGTGCTGTAGGATGTGGTGGAGGGCCAGGTTAATGGCGTTGTCTACAGATCTGTTGGCTCTGTAGGCGAACTGCAGGGGGTCCAGGAGGGGGGAGGTGAGGGACTTGAGATGGGAGAGAACCAGGCGTTCAAATGACTTCATGACGACAGACGTAAGTGCTACAGGTCTGTAGTCATTGAGTCCTGTGATCCTGGGCTTCTTCGGGACGGGGACAATGATGGAGGATTTGAAGCAGGCCGGGACATGGCAGGACTGCAGAGAGGTGTTGAAAATGTCCGTGAACACAGGAGTAAGTTCACTGGCGCAGTGTCTCAGAGTGGCCGGAGACACGTGGTCCGGGCCAGGAGCTTTGCGGGGGTGCAGCCTCAAGAAGAGTTGTTTAATGTCTTTAGAGGCTATTGTTAGGCTGGGGGCAGGGCTGATGGGTGGGTCGTTAGAGTAGTGGGGGGTGGGGGAGGGAGAGGTGTCAGGGGCAGCATCAAAGCGACTGAAAAATAAGTTCAGTTCGTCAGCTTGCTTGTGGTCGTCAGCACAGGGGGGGGCTTTGGGCTTGTAGTTGGTGATCTCCCGTAGGCCCCTCCAGACAGAAGCAGTATCGTTGTTACCAAACTGCTCCTGTAGTCGTTCTCTGTGCCGGGACTTGGCTGCTTTCAGTTCTTTCCTGAACTGATATTTAGCTGCTTTGTAGCCGCTGCGGTCCCCCTCCCTGAAAGCAGACTCCTTTGCTTTCCTGAGCTGCCGGAGTTTAGCAGTGAACCAGGGTTTGTCGTTGTTATAGATGACCCTGGTCCTTGTTGGAATGATGCTATCCTCGCAGAAGTGGATGTATGACGTCACAGTGTCCGTATATTCATCCAAGCTGTCCGTGGCAGCTCTGAAAAGATCCCAGTCTGTAGATTCCATGCATGCGCGCAGCTCTTCCACAGCTTCATTAGACCACACTTTGGAGCTCCTCACTGCAGGTTTCGAGAGCTTTAGTCTCTGTCTGTAAGCAGGAACCAGATGTATCATGGAGTGATCTGAGAAGCCGAGGGCTGGCTTGGGAACAGCGCGAAAAGCTCCGCGTATGGTGGTGTAACAGTGATCCAGAGTGTTCTCCTCTCTGGTCGGGCATTTGATAAACTGTCTGTATTTGGGTAATTCCTGGCTCAAGTTTCCCTTGTTAAAATCCCCCAGGATAATAATCAGAGAGTCCGGGTATAAACGTTCCATACACAGTACTTGCTCTGCGAGTGCGCGCTGAGCCTCGCGCGCGTCCGCGCATGGCGGTATGTAAACAGAGGCAAGAATGAATGAAACAATTTCACGAGAGGAGTAATATGGTTTACAATGAATGAAAAGATATTCCAGAGCAGGAGAGCAGTGCTTGGAGATCACTGTCACATCGTTACACCAGTTTGTATTGACGTAGAAACACAGCCCACTGCCTCTGCTCTTCCCTGAGAGCGCACAATGGCGATCCGCGCGGAACAGCCCGAAGCCCTGCAGCTCCAGAGCGCAGTCCGGGATCCGCTCATTTAGCCAGGTCTCAGTGAAGCAGAGGACACAGGATGTGGCGAAGTCCTTGTTTCTTCTCATGAGCAGGCTGAGTTCGTCCATCTTATTGCCCAGTGAGCGTACGTTGGAGAGAAAAATGCCGGGGAGAGCCGTGCGCGCTCCTCTCCTCCTAAGACGCACGAGCAGGCCTCCGCGCTTTCCCCTTTTACGGGCCCACACTTTTTTGGCTAGAACATGAACTAAATCAGCCGCAGATGCCAAGAAAACAGGCAATAGGTCCATGGGAACGGTGGGTCGGATGTTCATAAGTTCCTCACGGGTGTAGGAACAGCCAGATGCACAGTTAAAAAGTAAAAACAAAACAAAAGAAAAAGAGAGCAGCAAAGAGCCATGTCAACCGTACGAGGCGCCATCTTGAAGATTGAGAAGATTGAACATGTTGTGTAAACTGCCATCTCTTTTTGTGCGTAACTTTTTTCTAAACCACTGTTTCTCTTTTTATATCTTCTACAGATATGCTCGTCTCTAGCCGGTTTCTAGCACTGGAGGATTTGTCTCTTGTTGTCTGCCATGTCTGCAATCAGGTGGTCACTCCGCAGGGCTTCCTCAAACACTATGGTAAGAAACAAGCTTTACCGATACTAGGAACTAATTACACACAATGGGCCTCATTCACGAATAACTTCGTAAGAAACTACTCAACTTTCTTCTCAAGTTGTCCTTAAGTAGATTTCTAAGAAGTCCCCACGTGGGATTCATCAACGCACTCGTAAGCCGCTGAATTGTTCGCAGCTGTTCTCTCAGATTGATGAATCCCATTTCCTCGTAAGTACAGCGCGCGTGCCAGGTGCTTCATTAGCATAGGTACTTAGCATAAGTAACCGCCCATTAATGCCCATATAAGGGGATGCAGGGCCGTGTGCAGACGGCTGAGGAAACAGCAACAGGCCTAAAGCAGGCCTTTTTTCTTCTTTTACCAGACTGAGAATAAAGTTATAAAATGTTGACTTAAAAGTCGAAATATTATGATAATAAAGTCGAACTAGCAAAATTATGAGATTAATCTAAGAATATGATGAGATGAATCTCAAAATCTTATGAGCTTAATTTAAAAATATATTATGTATTATTTTAAAGATGAATCTCAAAATATTTTGGACCCTGGGAGGAGATCCAGTGCGGACCAGCGCTGAGACCAATGCAGACCCGAGGAGAGACTGGAGTGACCAGCACACAGAAACCAGCGCGGACCTATGGGAGAGACCGCATAGACTGGAGTGACCTGACTGGAGTGACCTGACTGGAGAGACCGGTGCGCAGAGACCAGCGCGGACCGAAGATAGACCGCATAGACCAGACTTGAGAGACCAGCGCGGACCCGTATGGATCCAGGAGCATGCAGCACGGACCCGTATGGAGAGAGACCAGTGCAGACCCGTATAGATCCATGGGAGAGACCAGTGCAGACCTGTCTAGATCCATGGGAGAGACCAGTGCAGACCCGTATATGGGAGAGACCAGTGCAGACCCGTCTAGATCCATGGGAGAGACCAGTGCAGACCCGTATAGATCCATGGGAGAGACCAGTGCAGACCCGTATAGATCCATGGGAGAGACCAGTGCAGACCCGTATAGATCCATGGGAGAGACCAGCGCAGAGACTCAGCGCGGACCCAGTAACCTCCTGCAGCAGCAGTATATATGCCGTTGTTCTGTGGCCCGTGGATAAAGAAATGCCCCCTATAAATAGGAAGGGGTCACTAATACACGGCAAGATTTCCAATGTATTTGATAAAGCGTTGGCACATTTCATTTCAAAATGAATTAAAAAGTAGGCCAGATCTGCAGTGAAAAAGGCGGTATATAAATAAAGATTACTAATAAAGATTACTACAAATAAATAAATACATACATCGATATGACGGACATATCACTGGAATGTTGTATTTTTATTCAACTTCACCAAAGAGGACAACCCCGGCGTGTGAACATGTCGGCACTGAATGCGTACGAGTGCTCCTGAGGACTCGTAGGATTTGTACTTGCCCAAGAGAAATTCTGGTTACGAGAAATATTCGTGAATGCCACTTTCTTCGTAAAAACCGCGTAAGTAGGATTTACGTACAAATCTGTTCCTAAGAACCGTTCGTGAATGAGGCCCAATATCTCTCTAAATTTCAGCCCATTTCTTTGCACATGGGATAATTGTTAATAATTTTTGACTAGTCCATGGGTCTCCAGCATTTTCAATCAGAGAGCTACCTTTATACAACAGAAGAGGCAGAGAGCGACTCCTTTTTTCTGTCGTAATAATCTAGGTAATAATTATGACAAAACATGGAAAACGGATATTTAAAATACCATAATACTGAATATCCCTATATTTATACATATAAGAGATGTGTAATGACTCAAAAGTGAATCATTAAAGATCATGCTCTAAATTATTTGGGGAGCTGCCTGAAAGGGGCTGGCGAGCTACTGGTAGCTCCTGAATCACAGGTTGGCGATCCCTGGACTAGTCTATAATACATTTGATAGTCTTTTTTATCGCAATTCAACATATATGGAAAGGCTGATTTACAGATTCACTTGAAAAAAGGAAGCATTTCAAACTTTGTTACTTGCTCAGCTTTGCAGATAGTCTGATTGGCTTGTTTTACAAAGTGGGCGGCTGCATTTGCAGGTTACTGTTATTAGAAAAATGACATTTATATTGTCCCAATAAATGGCTAATGTGAGCTGGAATCTTTTTTTCTAACATAAAGTTGTATCATAAAAGCTAAGATTTCTTGAGCCATTTCCTATATTTTACTTTTCTGAGAATCTCATTTATGAGGGCTGCATCTGAATGAAGCACAAATAACTTTTTCTTAGCCTGTTAATACTCATGCTGCTGTGAGGGCTCAAATAGTCATTTTATGAAGTTAATCCTACATTTGAAAGTATATGACATGCCTTTTTTAAATACATTTTAAAGTAAACACTTAAAAAAAAAAAAAACTTTTTGTTCAACACTCCACAAACTGGCAATGCACAATAAATATACCAAATAAAAACTTGTACAATCCAAGTCACTGCTTGGATACTCTACTGAGGGCCGTCCGGTCCCTGTATGACCGGAGCCAGAGCTGTGTTTGCATTGCCGGCAGTAAGTCAGACCTGTTCCCGGTGCATGTTGGCCTCCGCCAGGGCTGCCCTTTGTCACCGGTTCTGTTCACTATGTTTATGGACAGAATTTCTTGGCGCAGCCAGGGATTGGAGGGGGTCCGGTTTGGGTACCATAGGATTTCATCTCTGCTGTTTGCGGACGATGTTGTCCTGTTGGCTCCAACGAACCAGGACCTGCAACGTGCTCTGGGACGGTTTGCAGCCGAGTGTGAAGTGGCTGGGGGGAGAATCACCACCTCCAAATCTGAGGCCATGGTGCTCGACCGGAAAAAGGTGCCTTGCCTTCTTCAGGTGGGTGGAGAGGTCCTTCCTCAAGTGGAGGAGTTCAAGTATCTCGGGGTCTTGTTCACGAGTGAGGGAAGGATGGAGCGTGAGATTGACAGGCGGATCGGTGCAGTGTGCGCAGTGATGCGGTCGCTGTATCGGACCGTTGTGGTAAAGAGGGAGCTGAGCCGAAAGGCTCAGCCGAAAAAATTAGATTGCGGGTACAAGCGGTCGAAATGAGCTTCCTCCGCAGAGTGGCTGGGCGCTCCCTTGGGTGAGGAGCTCAGTCACATGGGAGGAGCTCGGAGTAGAGCCGCTGCTTCTCCACATTGATAGGAACCAGTTCTGGCATCTGTTCAGGATGCCTCCTGGACGCCTGAGGTGTTCCGGGCACGTCCCACCGGGAGGAGGTCCCGGGGAAGACCCAGGACACGCTGGAGGGACTGTCTCTGAGCTGGCCTGGGAACGCCTTCGGGTCCCCCCGGACGAGCTGGAGGAAGTGTGTGTGGATAGGGAAGTCTGGGCGTCTCTGCTTAGACTGCTGCCCCCGCGACCCGGCAACAAAAGAAGCGGAAGAAAATGGAATGGAATAAAAGTCATAACTAATGACTAGTGTGGAGGGCTGGACCTGTTTTCACTTGGTTAAAAAAAAAAAAAAATTCATTAATTTTGCAAAAAGCGCAGTATATATTTATGAAGATATTCAGGCTCCTCTTTGTGTTTCTGGACACTTAGTTTTGAGTAAATATTTAAATTACATTATTTGTAACATGCCATAGTAGCACATATTCGTTACATGCCTCCCGATTAATTTAATTAAGCAAAGTACCGGCAAAGTTTGAGGTTAATGGCTGGAACTCCCACTGATGACTGCTGTCGTTGTGTCCTTGGGCAAGACACTTAACCCCACTTTGCCTGAAGCCCCCACTGAAAGATCTCAGCTCCTGTGGACTCACCAACTGCAGGAGGATCAGTGAGGGGCTGGTGCTCTGTGTACTGGGTGGCATCTCTGGCCACCCCCCCGACCCAGAAATGGATTAAGGGGAAGAAAATGGATGGATGGATGGATGGCTGGGAAGAGTCCTGTGGCCGAATAGAAATGTAAACTGAACCGAATGTGCACTTTGCTCAGGTCTGCCCCAACTTAAAAATTGCTTTTTAAATTGAATGATCTATAGCTAGTCAACAACCATAATAATTCTCTCTCGTGCCTGAAGGAAGGCAAAGTTATAGGGAGCCATGTGACAGCAGGGCGGACTGACGTCAGCGCCCTTAGAAGGCATCTCAGAGACTCATCAAACCACAATGCACCTTTTGCCTGGCTCATCTCAAAAGATGACACACTATCAACAGATTATCAGCCTACGTCACCCTGTACTTAACTGCGCATGCCGCAGGAAGTTTGGAGGCATGGTGGCTGAGGGGATAGCACTCTCGCTTCTCAGCAAAAAGGTCCTGGGTTCAAATCCCGGTTGCAACAGCGCCTTTCTGAGTGAAGTTTGCATGTGCTCCCCGTGTCTGCTTAGGTTTCCTCCAGGTACTCCGGTTTCCCCTGCCACTAAATATGTACAGTAGGTCTGGCATGCGCCTACTGTACTGGCAACCCTGCTCCCATCTCTGTGTGGAGTTCTAACCCAGGGGTGTCCAAACTTTTTTGCATGTGTAGACTTTAGACTGTAAGTAATAACGGCTTATTAACCGAGCGCGAGGTCTGTACGGAGAAATATCAGACCGCGGCCTTAATGTAAATGCCAAAAAATGCCAAGGTCTGAGCAAGGCCAAGGACCGAGTAAGCAAGGTTAATGTTTTATTGTATGACTCTCGTCTGTGTCTTTACCAATGCTTTTGAGATATTTGTGAAGTATATGTTCATGCCCGACTTGGTTTTGTGTGATACGCGCTGTTCGGACCAATTGTCATGGTAACGGTCCGAGATGGGAAAATATCAGACCGGTAATCAGCCAATCAGAGCGCGCGTACGGTCCAAGCCATATAATAATCTTTATTTATATAGCGCCTTTCACAGGCCAGAGTCACAAAGCGTTTTGTGGGCATTTTTCTCAAAGAGATGGGAGCAGGTCGCCAGTACAGGAGGCACATGCCAGACCTATCAGTTCATCAGACTTGACCTGGGGCCGACAACCTGGATTTAAAAAAAAAAAACTGGATTTGAACGGAATTCC